CACCATCCAACAATTTCTAATACTTCAAAACAACTCTTTACCTTAAAGAGTATAAGGACTGTAGGATATAGCAAACTGGTGGCAGGCTACACTGCATTTGTCTCTACGAATAAAAAGCAGCATACAGCAACTGAGCTAGTCAGCAGCCTTCTGGTACAAAACCAAGAAACTAACTTAAAAGCATCAGCTCCAAACATACAAGAGGTGACTTTCAAGAGTATGTACATACATTTGGGAAAAACAGGTAAAAACGCAGCATCCAGAGGAATCCAAATTAAAAGTTTCTGTGCACGTGATGGGAAAACATCTATTAAAACTGGGAGAACACATCTATTATGGCTGCAGCTGAACTAAATTAATACTTGGCTGCCCCCTCAAATCTGCTGGAATACATGCATGCCTGGTTACTCCTTCAATTTGTTCTGTAAAACCAGCACACAACATTTGTAATAATAAACTTGTGCTACTCTGCAAAGCCATTATCACCTAAGGAAAAAAAGTTTCCTTTTAAGATTAAAAAAGGTGTTGATACATCTTATCAAATTTCTAGAAATCATCTCTGCCTTTATCCATACTTCAGAAACAAAATATTTCCTACAGCTAGTTAAAGCAATTGTTCAGACCATTGTAACTTCAAACAGATTTATGGATGAAAATAGTATTATTTTCTGCCCTTCCTCCTCATTTCTATACTGTGGAAAAAGTGGGAAAAAGCAGAACACGCTGATGGCCAGTACTCACACAGCTGCAAGAAAAAGAAGGCACTCTCACAGTTTTTACACAGACCTAACATTTAAGCTGAAAAGCACATTTTATATCCTCATTTAACTTGAAAAATGAAAGCTCCAATGCCACTTCTTGTATCCCAGTAAGACCAGCAGTCAAAGTCAAGTGTAGTACTCCTCCTGCCCTTGAACAATCTTTAAACTACTGCTTAAAATTAGTCTTATGAACAAAAGAAAAATCTATAGCAAACCTGACTCTAATCACTGTGCTTAAAAATTACTTACCAACCACTAGGAGCATTTATAAAATATGCTTCAGGCAGAAGGAACTTTTCTGGAAAAGCACTTTATTTCAAATCCCATATGAGCAATAGCTGATATGAAATAGCACTTGTATTCTTCTCCACTCATCTTCCTTCCTATCAATAAATTATTTTAGAATAGGTACTATTTTGAGACCAATAACCAATTTTTTCCAGATGTCATCACAACACAGGAAGCAAATTGTACCTTCAGGTCATGTAGCCAGTACACTTACAGAAAAATTACCTTACAGAATTTGGATCATGGTTACTGAAGTAGGCCAGGAAATCCTGCTCTTACTTCCACCATTGAAATGCTCTGTCACAGATCTGGTGTAAGAAAACTTACACGTTGAAGCAAAATCATGCTACAAAGGCCTAATTGAAAATGAAAGGTTCATGAGTTCAGGCTATGCTTGTCATAAAGAGTATCTGTAACGATCATGCCAGTTGTTTATATATCACTAGAAAAATGTTTTACCACACAGTAATGCTTTACAGGGAGTAGTACAAATGACAAGCAAAAAGTCAAGATGAAATCTGGTACTGAACAACCCTGTTGTCCTGACACGCACTAAAGGAGAAAAGGTGAGGCTGCTCTGAGAATGCTAACTCTGAATTTCTTTGTTTCCTTACAATTAAGATTTCAAGACCTCTTGTAATTCACTACATCAGCCAACGTGTCTGCGCAACTGTAAGAGATCAGAAACTTCATTCAACCCTGGAAGCAAAGGTACTTCCTCAGAGCACCCAGAAATTTCTTCAGGACCTAAAGAAAACAAAAGATTCCTGCAAGGAATCCTTTACTGCCACTACTTACTTTTGTATTTCTTCCATAGACATAAAGATGACCTCAGCCTTCAGGGTTGGAAAAACAGCATCTCTGATAGGTACCTTTTCTAAACCTGTAGTTTAATAATATTTCTTACAATGTCTTACAGGTGGGAAGCTGCAAGACACGACCAACACGTACTGAAATGAAAAACTGGTCTGTAAGGATTGTGTTGAACAAGATTGAAAGCTTTCATATCTGCCAATAAATGTTTCCCAAAAAAACCCACCCCAAAACTTAAAAAAACCCCCACCCAAACAACAAACACGTAGGATTTTTTTAAAAAAAGAAAATTATTATATGTTTCTCCCACACTGCAAGGCTTCAGACAAGGTGGTGAGGGGAGGAATATTAGATGATCTTACCCAGAGGCAAGCATCGTGCACCGTCCCTTGGAAAAAAAAACAGGATAAAATATTACACAAGTCAGCTGGCTCAGCAAGGATTAAGAAATACCTTGATAAACAGCTAATGATATGAAAGGCAAAGCTTTTGGCTCCAGCTCAGAAAAGTAATTACTCCCATCTGGGCACACGAAACCCCAAGAAGGGCTACAGTTTCACAAGACGAGCACAAGAAAACTTTCACAGCCTTGAAGCCTTTTTTTCACAGTTACATTGGTGGGTGTACGCTAAGTAATAATTAGGCCAATGACTAAAAGTATACAAGACTATAAACAACGTTCTCAAGAGCACAGGTTACCTGCCCTTCCCATCAATGTCTGAAGCTGATGGAAGTAGAGAACCAAATTCTGCTGCAGATGGGCCTTTACAGAGCATTCAATTTCTTTTTCTCACACAAAAATATACTTGACTAAGAAGTCAATCAAAACAGAGCTTTATAAGGGGTTTCTTCAACAATCCCTGACATCTGGAAGAAACCACCAAACTTTCAAAAATACGCAGCAAATTCTGCATTTAAAAAGTACTGCAGAGTAAGAAGAAGCATTAGCCCATTCCCACAAATACAGTCAAGTCTCCTGTCACAGCACAGGGCTTGAGTCAAGAAGGGTTTGCTTTCACTGGTGAAACTTTATTCTGCTATTTTTCCTGCTGACTGCTTGTTTCATGTGGGTGGGGTTGTGTTTTTATTGTTCTGGACTGCATTTTAATTGATGGCAGAATGCCTGGAGTTTGGGATTGGCATCTCTTCCATTGTTTTTGTTGAGATAAATAAATACATTTCACCCCTCTTTTCTAAAAATTAAATACACGCTATACTCTCAAGTGGTAAAAAGAAAGCAGGCTGCTAGAAAGAACAAACCCACAAAACAAACAAACAAACAAAAGCTTTCAGATGGCATAAACAACTACCAAACTCCTGTTGCAAGGAATTCACTACCAAAAAGCCTCATCCCTGCTTACTACCCTCTGATAAACCCCCAAAGACCAAGAAGCAGAGCTATGACAGTGGAGGCCAACAGTACTGTTCAGTGGCTAAATGTCTCTGTAATTCTAAAGAGAAGACTGCAGATCAGATTTTGGCCTCAAGCTCAAGCATTAACTACCAAGATGGGAGCCTGCTAAACGAGTAAGATATGTTCTCAAGAGAAAATAAGGAAGATTAAAAACAGCTTGAAAAGGAGTTATTGAAGAGATTGGTTCAGTATTGAATGGAGAGTCACTGAAGCAGAGGCAGCAAGGAAGAGAGGAAGAGGGGTGGTCTATCTAGGCAGACACACTATTTAAAAAATCCAACCAAAAACCTCTATCCCTGTCCAGTTTTTGTTCACAAGCAATGTGAAGGCAGCATCTACACTAATAGTCAAACCCAACACTAACCAGCCAGCCTCTAAAGCATCTCCAGAGCACTTGAATGGAAATATGCTCTTACTGATGCTGCCAAAATAAGACTTTTTTTTTACAGTATAGAAACATTTGCAATCTACGTTTTCTGACCTACTAATTAGAAAATTGTCCTGCTACAATCTGACACAAAAGAAAACAAAGGTCCTAGTTCTTGCTCAGCTATTGATTCAATGCTGACTACAACACTAGTTGGCACTGCTATTGTTCTGATATTCTGCTATTCCAGGGGAGGAAAAAAAAAACCAAACAAAAAAAAGAGAACCACACACATGCATGCCCCCCCAACCAAACAAGCAAGCTGGAATTATTTAAGGAGAAATAAAGTGTCAGCACCAAGCTAAATTGTTCTCATTATCTGAAGAATTTAAAAAATACTTTAATATTACACTTGCATGAAAATTGTATGAGCACTTCATGCTAGGCAGTGTTTCAGCATGTTCCCCAAGTGCACACAAACAAAAAACATATGACAAACTGTTGTCTCCCAACTGATTAAAGTATTTCTTCCTGGCACAGAAAAGCACTTAGTTAACTGCTGTGAGTCTGGGCCAACAGCAGTATTCCACCCACTACTGAGCACAGAGTTCAAACCTGAACACAAATACGCTTCAAAAACGTGCAGCTTCTGAAATACGAGAGAGAGTACGTCTGAGGAACTTGTTTTCAACCCTGAGCTACTTGGTGAGCTGAAAGAATCACTGAAGAGTTAGACAAGTCTAACTACACCACGTCTCAAACACGTTAGAAAAAGTGAAGTGTATTTCTTTCCAAAACATCGTAACAGCAACGAAGCCACATCAACCTAAATACACATACAGAATCAAGGAAAGAAAAGCCTACATATAATGTTTAATATGTCTCTATTTCTTTCTGTTGTGGTATTCACTTTGTACAGCAAATCCCTTCAGTTCCGGATACCGCAATCATCCAAAGGAAGTGAGTTTGACATGACTAAACTCTGGGTACACACAAGTAGTACAGTCTAATACACTGTGTAAGATGAAGAGCCTCCATGTCTTTAACAATTTTTAAGGAGCTATTATTGGCCAAATTCCAAATGTCACGACCCACTAAAATCTAGCAGTTTGTTCCATGCTTGATGCAAAACCCAAGGAAAAAAATCCTATATTTTTTTTTAACATACACCACTTTGTATTTTGATACTCAAAATACAGAGAAAACAGGCTAAGAGCTACTTGTTCCCTTGCTAAGAAGTCTCAAAACACCCCAGCCATTTGGATCACAGCTGTTATGAAGAGCAGGCACATTAACAGACAGTAACTATACTGAGAAGGTATCTTGTATGCATTTTCTTCTCACAGATGAAGCCTACCTCTTTACATTTTGTGGCCTTTCCATCATTCTTGCCTCCTTTAGCACCCTCCACGTTTCTTAAAACGTTGATGAAATCTTTCTTTGAAACAGAAGACAGCAGTTTAGCACGCCGCCTGTCAGAGCTCCCAGCTTTCTTCATCTTCTCATCAATGTTCTTTTGGTGCGCCCTGACAGCATTAAATAATTGTACAACACCTCTGGGATAGGGGAAAAAACAACAGAATAAATTTTTTAACTCAAGTTCCTTTTACAGAAATGAACCCCCTACCAAAGCAACTAATTGGTGCAGATGCTGGACAGCTTCTAGCTCCCCAGAATGGTTAGTGGGAACCTCAATTTGGTTAAGAAGTAACATTTGCTATAATGTTCACTCCTCCTTTACAGTTATTGCTAGGAACCAGTAACAAACAAATCCACACATAACTATTCAGACCCTGAAGTAAGCATAGTAACTTGGCACTGAAATCAGTACATGAGCATGTTTCATCCTCAGAAGTACATTACTCGTCCTACAACCAGATATTAAATTCTTCAGGCAAGATCTCAAGGGCAGCTGAAGTAAGGGGACAAGGCAGAGGAATGATTAAGGAGGCAGACACAGGCAGCCCATCAAGGTGTTCAACTAGTTCTGTGACACCAAACTACTGCAACACTGAACAGACTGAACTTTACAGCCATCAGTCTGGTGAATCCTCTGCAGAGAAGCAAAAAACCAGAACAGTAGAAACAACTGTTCTGCATTTTTAAGGCATTAAATTAACAAAATGATGGGATTCAACAAAGCACTCCTGTTAAGCAAATATTAGATTCCCATCTAAATTTTTACTCTTTCATAAAGCTTCTGAAATCTTTTGCTGAACTTGATACCGTACAATGCAGACCTGTATATAAATCTCTCGGCTCCTGGAAGTCACTTCTTAAGAGTTCAAACTGATTGGAAACAGATTACCTGCATAAGCCTTTTCTTCCCCTTTTCCTCCTCTTTTTGATATACATATATTTAAGGAAAGCATTCAGAAAAACTCTTACCTTGTGGCAATTCTCTGAAGATTTCTTTCTTTCTCTCGGTCTTTGACAACATCTGGCTTCACTCGGCACATCATTTCCCATTCCCGCTTTTTATCGAGCTGCATTATAAATATTGTTATGAGAATGCAGCACACACTGATAGAGTATGTAGCAGGAAGAAAAAAAAAAATCTGCAAAGTTCAGTTTGGTTTGAGGGTAAGGGGGGCTCCAATATGGGGCTGGACAACAGGTCTGAGGTAAGTCTCTTGCGTTGACACACCAGGGCCCACAGTCAAATCTCAAAGAATCACCTGCTTTCAGTGACAAAAGTCTAGAATAAAAATGCTTTCACACTAACTGCCGTGAGCAAGGAAATTATTCAAAGACCGCTTTCAACTCCAAGACTCACAAGCTGATCACAGAGAAATTCATACATAATAAAATCCTGTGTCTACCAAGACAGGCACATCACATTTTGAGCCTTGGGAATTTGACTTTCCCCACAGAATTAATCCCAGTACAGCTCTGTGACCAACAGTGAGGCACATCAAAGACTGCAACAGGCAGAACTCAAGCACCAGGAAGAGCACCAAGTGTCCACCAGACAACAACTCGTGTACAATACTGATTTTTGTCTTTTTCTTTTGAGTCTCTGCTTCAAAACCAAACTGATGCATTTTCCATTACCAGGGGCCACAATATCACCAGCTTTGTTTCTGCTAAAATAGGAGACCACTGTATTTCACAACCTCTGCTTCAGGAGAAAGGTAGTGAAATTTTTTCTTCCCCTTTGAACAATTTAATAGTGTTCTAGGCCTAGTGATGTTCCATTAAATCTGTTTTATGCAAGAAGTTTTTAGTGGAATTTCAGAGTCCTTATCTTTATAATTCCAGGAAAACCACTATGAATTTCTGAGTTTATGACCATGTTTTGGCCTTTGATCAAAAGAACTGCCCTATCCTACCTTTCATCAGCAAGCAATCAGTGGAAGGCAGAGCGTTTTCAAGTTTTCCTAAGGTAAACAAGTCAGTTTGGGGACCTGTAGCCCACCTCTGTTCTGCAGTATTCCCACATATTTACTGGATGAGAACAGGTATTTAGGACAACCAGAACCACGCAGATGCTGTACTGAAGCATCTCTGCATTTAAAAGGCAAGCTGTGGCCCAACCACAGCATGTCCCAAACTGTCAGGTGACTAACCTGGCTATCCCACTGAAACAGAACCGGTAAGATGAGACATTAGTACCATTAATGTATTTGTAGCCTGAAGGTAAATCAATCACAGCCTGGAATTAAAAGTTCCACTAAAGACACAAACAAAAGACTTACTTGCCAACATAACTTTGCTCTCTTCATAACAGGTTCAGAACCAGAAGCTATTCAGGGAACAGACACAGTTTTCTACAGTAGTAGAAACAGTAGTTTCCAGTCAAGAAAATCATTGAGGAGAGCAAACAAGTATTCACAACCGCATCAATAGTTACTCAACCTAGAGGCCTTGATTTCGGATGTTGTGGCATAATTTAAATGAAGGAAGTTTTCTTCTTTTTCTCCCTCTCACTTTTTGTGATACAGAACTATTTTGACTTTTAATTCTGACCACGTGAATTTCACTCCAAACTAACAACGGAATTAGAAAACCAAGCTTAAAGCAGCTGCTTTCACCCTCTCAATAACAAAAACACCTTATGGCCAACAGACTGGAACAGTCCTGCTGCCAACGATCAGCCTGCCTGATGACCCAGAAAATGCAGTAAGGGAAAAAGCCCTACACAGCATGACTGGAAAAGTAAAAAAATTGAAGTTATTTGACATCACTGTGGAAGAGAGATTCCAAAACTGAGATAGTCTCAGAGCACTCTCCCAAATCTCTGCTGAGACTATCTTGCATGTAGTAGCCCACCTGACTATGACTACATAGGAAATACTGCATCTTTTTCTCACCTTCATCCTCTTTTCCAGCCTTTCTTGTTTTTCCTTTTCTCTCTCCTTCTCCAAGCTTTTATTCTTGGACAAGATGGTGGACTTATTCTGTGGAATCTTTTTGTTGAGCACTTTTGCCATGGCATCTGCCCAGCCTGAACTTGGGCCATCTCTGGAGGTTGTTGCCTCTTCAACCACATTGCCAGGGGCTGCTGTTTCATCTTCATCATCACCATCCAGGGCTTCATCTCCTGAAGAGTAGCTGTCTTCTGGGAGTTCTGAGCTTAACTCAGAATCTAGGGATCAAAAAAAAAATAATTATCAGTTCTTTTTCTCGTAAGGATCCATCACTGGTGCAATTTGCTCCATATGTAAATGTTATCTGAGTCCAGGGCCACGTACTGCTGCACATGTAGTGTCACAATTACTTCCTCAAGCAGCCAAACACCATCATAATGAATTTACTAGAAACTATGTAATGCAAGTGCTTGCTTATCTCAGTAATGATTTAAAGTGATTGAAGTGGATGGCTAAAAGGGAAAAGGCAGCCTTGGATATTTTTTGTTAGAATATGAATATTTTTATGTTTAGGGCTGGAATTGTGGGGGAAAAAAAACCCTGTATTTCCCAGTTCAGAAATTATAGCTTATAAATGCATATACATACATATCTGTATGTATACATATGTGTATGTACACACACACATACAAACTGCAACAGTGACATCTGGTGTTTGAGTGCAAACAGCCACAGGGATTAAACTGAAGCTGGGAGGGCATTCCTTATGTGAAAGAAAAATCTGCCCAGGGAAAACAATGCCATCAAAAATACAATTACCAAAGTACAGTGAACACAGGGGAGATTGTTTTGTGAAATGCAGAATCAAAAGAGTCATCAGGTACTCAAAAGAAACCAGAGGCACTAAGGTCTTCTGGCATAAGTAACTGTTCAAGTTCTTCATACAGAAATAAAACACCCCCAAGTTTCCTTACCCTATGAGCCCTTCAAAACAAAACTAAAGGAGCTGAAGTGACAATATTGAAGTTAGTAATCAAGCAACATCAAGAGAGCACAGAACAGCCAACTAGATGGCACATCAAACACATGAATAATCTGCCATTTCCCTCATTTGTCTGTTCAGTGTGTCAAATTGCAAAAATTAAAGTCTTTAATGGTGCAGATTAACTAGAATGAAATGGGCTGCAAGTTTAGGGTGGGCTAAAATTTGTTTGGTTATTTCAGTGGACCCACTTTATCACAAAATGAAGAGCACAGCATACATATTTCCTGCCACTATTAACTACTATTCCACTAATATTTGTGTCATGTGAAATTTTAAATTAATTTCCTTATATACAACTTTCAAGGGCACAAATCAAGTGCTGGACAGAAGGAGGCTAGTTTCTGACCCTGCCCAGTCCCACTAGCAAGGGCCTAATTCCCCACCAGTTGACTCACTTTCATCCCTCTAGCACTCACACTACTTGAAAAAGAGTACTACTACTACTACTACTACTACTACTATTACTGCTGCTGTACTCACAGTACTACTGAGCCAAGTGCTTTACTTTGTAAGCACTGCTATATGCCATGAACTACCTTTATCAATTAAATCATTAAGAGAACGAAGTCAGGACTGCTTCACTAGATCTGTTTTCTATAAAGCCATGCAGACAGCTATTAATGATATTCCCCATTAATCAACTGTCTTTTTAATTACTTAGCAAACATAAACATACACTCTGTTGCCAGACTTATTCATTATTCTGCCTTCTCCATGTGCCTTTTTAAACCAGAAAAATACAGCCTGACATAGCAGCAAAACAGTGGCATTAATCAATTTAAAACAAAACCTCTAATGCCCAGGCACATTTAGAGGCTCGGAGAGCATTTAGTTACCATCAGAGACAGGAGTAAAATTATATGTTTACAAAACAAATGTGGAAGAGAAATAATTACTGAGTACTTAGTCATGATCTAGGTCAGGATGACTTTTACTAGCATCAAGGTGCACACAGTGTTGTGTCACACTCCACTTGAGATAAATAATGGGTTTGGTTTTTTTTTCAACAGTCCTTACTATAAAGTGGAAATTTAGAAGCTGCAGATATGTTCAACACATTCACTAACTACTTAAAGGCACCCTTTTTATCCTTTTATATCCTTTTAGATATCAGTATGTTTCCATATCCTGAGTTCCAGATTAAAAAAAAATAAATTCAAACCATTGCATATGAAGAAGCTGGTACATCACCACAGCCTGGTTCCTACAGGTAAAACAATGTCAACTTTTCATCCCTAGGCCTTGTCCATGCTAGGATAACACTATCTAGTTTTTAAACAATGAATCAACCCCCACTTACGACTTTTTTATAGATACAAAAACTAACTACTAACAAAAGTCCAAAGATGAATTCCCCAGTTGCTTGACAGTTAGCCATAAATAACAGATCAGACTTATAAAAAGGAAAATTGCAGAATTATGTATTAATTTCCTTTACATAATATTTTCTGCCAGTAAAATAGGAGGATAGTGCTGGATAATACCAACATTTTGCTTTCAACAATTACAGAGAGATTAACAAGACTTCAAGGACCAGCCTTAACTTACTCTTTTACATGTCAGAGTATCAGACAACAGCATGAGATAAAGCAGAGATATTTCAAAGTAATTTAGACTAGATTAACTCTATCAGAAGTAGGACCTGAGGCTCTGTTCTGAACTGCAAACCTTAAAGCCTAGTACAGGTTTAATGTAAAAAGTCTTAATTGTGTGTGTGGGAAATGCACATTTCCATACTTTACTCTTCTAATATTGCTCAGTGACGAAGGTGTAGACGCACAGTTAAATATAGAAAACATTCCAAAACGAGCTCTGAAAGAAGCTCTCACACAAAGCTTTCCCTTGGGTTCAGTTTTGACCCTCAAAGCAAACAGAACCAGTGTGACCTACAGCTCCAAACGGCCACAACCTTGATTCCTCCCAGAATAAAGAAAAAAAAGTAATCTAATTACAAGATACAATTAAAAAGCGATCACAACTAGTTAGGTACACCCTCTCAACTCACAAGGAGGCAAGAACGAGCGCAGAACTGTGCGTAAAGGATGGAGTACGAGTGTTTGCGCTCTCCTGGTGAATCACTACCTTGCGTGTCCCACGGGTTTACTTCGGAATAGAAGCAGATCCCGGTCTGGCACAGACACGGAACTTTTGCAGCTCTGCACAGTCGCTCCCCCCGCTCCCAAGGAAGCAGCGAAAGTTATTTTGGTGGGCCCAGGGAATTAACCAGCTGCTGTCGGTACCCCCTAGCTGAGTAGAGAAGGGCAGGAGCAGAGGACAGGACCAGGCACAACACCGGGCACAGCGGGAATGCCACCCACGGGACCCCCGGCTGAGAAGGAGCTTCAGCACGTGGCTGTGCCGGGGCCTGAGCCCCCATCCCCCGCGAAGACGGCTCCAAGCCCCGGCCCAGGGTTCGGAGCGGGGGGGCTGAAGGGCCTCGGACCCACCGGCGGGCTCGGACGCGGCAGAGAGGAGAGGCCGCCGGGCCAGGACGGCCCACACGGGCACACAGAGCTTTAGAAGAAGGAGAGACCCACGCTCGACCCTCCGCCCTCGTTACGCTGTCCGTGCCGCGCCGCCGCCGTCCGCGCCCACGTGGGCCCGCCACGGGCCGCCGCCATCTTCCCCGGGTCCGGCCAGCACCGTGCTCCGGCCCCGCCCCCGCCCGCCAAACTGCCGTTCCGGCTCCAAAGGTTCCGGACGGATGGAGCGGCGGCTTCCGGGGCGGTTGGGGAGGAAAAGGGGACAGAACTGAGCTGATGAATAAGTCAGGGAGCGCCGCCCGTGCTCCTGCTCCCCCTGGGGCGCTGCCTGCCGCTCCTCCAGAGCAGGGCAGAGCCCAGCGAGAGCCGGGGGCCGCTCCTGTTCGGGCTGTTCGAGCCCTCGGGGGCGCCGCCGTGGGGTCACGGAGAGCGGACACGGACCGCGGCCTCGTGGGGCCCGAGTGCGGGAAAAGGTGGAGAGCGCCCTGGGAAACCCTCAGACCCAGCAAAGCTCAGCCTGGTTCACAGAGTCACAGGGACCCTTAGCCCTGCACGGGGCCATCCGCAGGAGCCACACTGTGTGCCCGAGAGGTTGTTGGCTTCCACCTCGGGGAGCCAGTGTGGGTGGGCGCAGCAGCGATAAAAATAAATAAATTAGTGTTCTGTTTATGTAGGTTGCCTGGTGGGAAGAGGAATTTGGAATCTCCACAGTGCTGATGTCCCCAAGGACGCTTAGCCATGCTTTCAAACATTCCTTTAAGGCCCAAAAGGAGTTTTGTCATGGGGAGGATTGAAAAACTGAAATTCATCTTTCATTGACTTTTCAATCAGGGGAAAAAAAAAAAAGAAAAGAAAAAAGACAACTGACCATTTACTATATCCCTAAATGTTTACCATTTTCACACTGATACCACATACTTTCTGAAGTCATTTTTTCTACACTAGAAAAAGATTTTCTCAATCTTTAAGGTTGGTCTGCCCTAGCTGGTATCTGTGGAAGGGATGAGCTCAAATTTCCTTGGACACCAAGTGGGCCCCAGATAGGGTAGGTCATGGACCTTTTGTAAACAAACCACAGGTCTCTGGGATGGGCTGTGCTGTTAAACTTCACTTGACAATTACTGTATCCACCCAAACCATGCTGATCTAATGCTTAGCATAAGTAGTTTAGGTCATAGATCACTGACTATGCTATACATTCTTTTACAAATTTTTCAGATTAAGAGTTTTGGATGCTAGAAGTTTTTGCAAGCTCCAGTTCATGTACTGAAATCCCTTTCTCTCAATGGTAGTATTTGTTGTTGCACTGGGTGTTCAGAAGAGCACACTATCCCCCACGTGTAGGGAAACAAAATTTCTCATACCTTAGGTTAGAGAATTTCTTATCTTAGTAACACTTATTTTCTGTCACTTCACAGCCAGTGAACGGACACACAGATTTTAAGACCAGACTGTAACACTACCAGTCATCCAGTTACTCAATTGGAGGCATCTGTAAGAAGTATATCTTGAAAAAAGCACCACCTAAAACACCAGAACTGTATAAGAAGCAAATCTTCTTAGGCAACCTCTTACATAAAGGTGCTCTAAACTAAACAAACAAAAATTAGTTATCAAGAACTGCTGTTCTTGTAGCAATTAAATGTGCTGGTAGGCAGAAGCTCCAGTATTCCTTGGAGCCCTAAAGTAGTGCAGTACAAACAACCTTTGACATTGCAAAGTACATCTATAGATATGAGCGAAGATAGAAATGTGTCTGAGAAGATTTGACCCAAACACTTGCTGTCTTACATCATAATTATTAAGCAAGATCCTATGGATGAAACACTGCACTGCTCTGCAACTTTGCTGACACCTTAGAGAGCCTGGATACATGAACAAGTATTAAAATAAGGAATGGTGGCTCATATTGTAAATGAGGTGCAAGGCAATGCTTTACCTGGCTATTACTGATCTTAGACTAGTGGATTGATTTTAAGATGACTTGGTTGCTTTTTTAAAGCTCAGTTATCTTATGGTGGTGCCTCCAAATTACTACCGGAGAAAAATGTTACATGCAGCGTATTCCTCAGTATTTTGCAGGTTTTAAAATCTTAAAAAATGTTTCTAATTTTCACATCCTGTATTTTTGTGAATATTTTTTTGTTGTTGTTGCAACACTGCACAACAAGTGACCTTTGTCTTTGTACTTCTGTCATTCCACATTTTTTTCCTTAATGATGTGGGTTGCAGCCAAGATAGCAAATTTTATTTTGCTCACTCAGTATCAAGTGGGAAAATTAGAGGTTGGACAGAGGTCAGAAAATGGTGACAGAAATTCTTACCTGGCTGGGGAAACAGTTTCATAGGGAAAGATTATAAAGGCTAAGTAAGTGTGTCTTGGTTAAGTGCTGGCTAAGGACAATGGTACTGGACTTCTGTTTCTGTCATAAGCTGTCTTGCAGAGCAGAGCTACTTGGAAAGAATTTCAGTCTAACTCATTGTTACAAGCAAAGAGAAAACTCATGCTGAAAAATTTGGGCCAGTGCTGTGATTTGCAGAGTAAGAAGGAAACTATAAACATCCTCATGATGTGTAATGAAGAGGCACAAGCACTACAGGAGATGTAATTCCTAGTGTTTTACGCTGTAGGGCTCAAATCCTACCGTGTCTGCCAATAATAAGCAGTAACCATTTGGTCAAGTCTGCTATGTGATGATAAAGACACTTGCCATTTGCTTGGCATGATTCATCTCTGAATCATGTTGCGTCAGAAGGGACACTGCTAGGAGAAGGTTATTAAATTGCATAGACAACAAGCTCTTTCAGTATGGCAATTACAGTCCTCATTTCCTAGAACATGCACCTTATTGAACATGTCTTACTCGTGGTAGCATATTTGTCTTGGAAATATGTCAAAATCTTCAGATTAAGTTCTGTAATGGGCTCCAGTAAATGACGGGTCTGAACCTTCTTCCCTCAGACTGAATTAACAAGTCACATCTCTGAGAGCATACTTCTCTCCACAAGCATTATCCCAAAGCATTTGTCAGGAAATTTGTTGCCAAACCTCATTTCAAATGACTGTCATTGTCTCCCATCACTCTGGCCTGAATGTTTTTCTGTACTGAAATTGTGGTCTGAAGAACACTGGAGATACAACTGGCCTACAAAATCTTTCCAAAGCAGACAAAGCAGCAGTTACCTCCCAATTTATCATTATCAGCAGCAGCTGAAGAGGAGCAGAGGCACAAGCTGACATTCTGCATGTACAGGTCTATAGTAAAACCATGGCTAATGAAATAGTGCACAAAACTTTGACCCATGGATGCAGCAGAGCCATGGGTCTGGCACAGGAATTTGCAATCCTAACTCTTTTTTAATAAGATTTTAAATGTGAGGTTTTTGTATTTTTTTTAGCTGAAAGTTTAAATATCAACAATACTGGGAAACAGCCCAGTTAAAGCAGTTACTGTGTATTCCTCATTACAAAGATAGCAGCAGCAAAATCATAGAATGATAGAATGGTTCAAGTTGGAAGGAACCTTAAAGATCATCTAGTTTCAAGCCCCCTTGCCATGTGCAGGGACACCTTTCACTAGACCCGGTTACTCAAACATCCATCTAATGTGACCTTGAGCACTTCCAGGAATGGGAGATCCACACTTCACTGGGCAGTCTGTGCCAGTGCCTCACCACCCTCACAGTGAAGAATTTCTTCCTAATACCTTATCCTAATACCTGCTCTCAGTCAGTTTGAAGCCACTACCCCTATCACTACATGCCCTTGTGAAAAGTCCCTATCCAACTTTCTTCTAATCCCTTTCAGGTACTGAGAGGTGCTACAAGGTCTCCCCAGAGCCTTCTCTTTTCCAGGCTGAATAACCCCTCTCTCTTGGTCTATCTTCATAAGATATGACAAGTAAAGACAAAACCTCCCTTTGGTTTCTCTTTGGAGTGGTAGAGCTCCTTTCTGTCCTGATCTGTTCTAGAATTGCAAAGAACACATAGATCCCAGCAACATGCTAAGCAAATGACCGACATCTGCTGTATGCCTGTTGTCAGTTTGTCTCTGGGAGAGAAGTTTGCACTTCGACACAATGCATAAACACATAGGAAAACGTGTAGTGGGTTTATGTAAAAGAAACCAAGGTCAGAGAAACATACCTTGTGGTTAAGCAAGGTAGTAAAAGTTTTGCGCTATCCTTATTTCTTGTAGAAAAGTACTCCACAGGCTTGTCTCGTTCTATGCAAAGGAACTCTTGCCTAGGCAGACAGGATTACTGTGCTGGTTTAAAAGTTAACCAGCAGGGGGAATGAACTCAACTCAAAGGAGAGATTATAAATCAGAATAACAATTTATTAAAATAATACAGTAAGTACAATAATACAAACAAACAATTGGTCTCAACCCACAAAAACCCAAATGTATAACCCAGTGCCCTGGGGCATGAACAAAGTGGTGTTCCTTGGGCCCTGTTTGAGTCCAAAGTAAAGGGAGAGGGGAAGAACCTGCTGGTGGGAGAGCTGCTGCAGTCTGGCCAGAACTGGTGATCGCAGTCCAGTGGTGGTCTAAGTCTGGTTGAGAGCGATGAGATGCAGCCGTCCTCTGGATCCCACGAGTGGGTTGAAAAATGTTCCAAAACTCCAAGATTATATATCCTCCAGTTCAGGCAGGAATGTTCAGTGCTCCCCTCAGGGCGGGGAGTTCCACAAAGGGTGTGAGGACAGAAACATCCTCCTATCTCACAGGCCTCTTAACACCTAGTTTATAGCCTGAGGAGTCAGGCTCTATGGGCAGAGGGTGCGAATAGTCTATTGACAACAATAGTCTAGTTTCTGGGAAATGACATGGAAGGCTATAGAATACAGTTTTGGGTCACACCCACCATGATGAACTGATCTCAGCTGTCCTAACTAGGACAATTACCCTTCCTAAAAAAGTTCAGTCATTCTTAGTTATCAGCTGTGATCTTCATCCCAGAGTGTAACCTCTCAGATATCCTGGGTGCAGGCCACCAAAAGCCTTAAAGACAGGAGTTCAGTTTTGACTTAATTGGATAGGTGTGGAAGTAAACTAGAGGCCTGCTGCCTCCCATGGCCTTTGGATCAAGTTCTTCATGTTTAAATTTCAGTAGAATAGAAATGAAAAAAATTAT